AGAAAAAGAGAAAAAAACAATTTTCCATTAGAATGACAGCCAATAACTAAATGGTAAAAAAGGCACCGAATATAAATTCCTTTCTCACTTCTTTTCTTATTTGTTGCTCCGTTTTGCTTCTTATTTTTTAACGCTTTGCTCCAAGAACTGTATAAATCAATCAATTAATTCTAAACAAATAATTTAAAACAGTATCGCAGACAATGACAAAGAAAAACTTTCAGTCAGAGGGGAGATTAGAATCTTTTACTATCAAATAAACGTCAACTCTCTTTTTCTTCTGTCACGGCGAATGTTTTTCGCGAATTTATTTCGGGAAGCATTCTCTCGTTTCTCTTCTTTCACAGGGGTAAACGCCCAAGGAAACTGTGGCGTTTCAAGTCCTCGCGTTTCACGTCGGCCTATAGATCGTCCAGAATAAAAACAGGGAGCCATTATCAGGTGATTGATGGAGAGGGTGAAGCTACGAGGGAAAACGAAAAAAAAAAAAAAAAAAAAAAAAAAAAAAAAAAACGATCGGCTCTCTCGTGTACGCGACCAGTAGCCTAGCGTTCAAGTAAATACACATTGTTGACTCTCGCTGAGGGATTGTTTTGCGTGGTATTTTTCGAGCCAGACGGCCCACCCTCCAGCACGCGATACTCGATTGCTACTCGATTCGTCGCTTTCGGCTGACTCATTCCGGATTTTCAATCGTCGAGTCTGCGTCAATCGTTCCCCGAACATTTTAATAAACTTTCGCACGCGTCTCACTTACGATCCTCTACCACAACGCAAAACTAACACTAAAGAGCTAAACGTTAATACACTGTTATAATTTTTCGTGAAATTCAAGGTCCAAAGCTGCCCTAATTTCGAAATGCCGTCATTTTTGTTCCAAGATGAGAAATCGTAGCCAGTATTCTTCTCGAAAGTACCATAAATTGTGGTAGCTTGTGAAAACATTGAAAATTTTTTTGGGCACGATTCGAAGAGTGAAGTCTTCTCTTTATAATTACGTCTTAAAACTTCATTTCATCATTTTACCGAATTTTATTGAATATTCAGTTCACTCGACGAAAATTCGATTTTTTTTTCGACGTTATATTCGTTTTTGCCTGAGATAAAATGGTGATGAAAAATTGTACGTCAAGTTCTAGGGATTTATTGTGTACAAGAGGCTCCAATCTATAAATCCATTGTAGATTGAGTCATGAAAAAAAATTGTTTAATGTTCTTACATACTTACTGTGATAATTTATAGCAGAATTTTTCGAGAAGAAAGGTATCTTTACTTTGTTATTTGTTACACAGTGTGAAAACATCTTACAATTAGGATCAAATGAATGATGTATTTTGAAATGTATTTGAAAATGAAGCTTTAAAACAAACCGGTTTGTCGTTTATCGTAACAGTTTAAATATTCAGTATTAAAACATAGATTTCATTCCTCATTTATATCATGATAATATCGTCTCGACAAACAATCAAATAATTTCAGACTTTCTTCTTCTAGCTATTTATGATTATTTTTTGATAGTATTTTTGATTTCTGTTTAGATTTCTGTTTAGTCAATTACTATCGTTTAAATCATAATGATTTATGTAGTTGTTCTATTAAAAATCATATATTCTAGTATAGAACATCTAATAATCCAGTATTAAACATCATAATTAATAACAAATGTTTAAGATTCACTGAAAATGGGAATATATTGTACGTTCAAAAGTCTCTTTGGAGGTCATTCTCATTCTCAGTCGCCAGTTTCATGTCACTCGTGTCCCCTGTCTTTACCGAACTTTCTAATGCTTAGCACTATCGTTCGAGCGGCAAATATTTAGGTCTCGGTTCTTCATGCCGGTACCGTCTCGACAAACTTCTCGAGATCCTCAAGACCCTTAAGATTACGTGGCTAAGTGTCCAAGGCTCGTAGAAAAAGGGAATATTTTCGTATACGAGTCACGCTGAAAGACACCCTCGGAAGCCATTGTCATTTCGAATCTTCGAGTATCAAGCCTGTATCATTCACGAACTCTTTAATAAATTTTCTCCATTAAATCGCTCCTGAATTCTTTAATAAACGTCCATGTTAAGAGTGAACGAAACATGTCTCGTTTATTCTTCTACGAGCTAACATCGTAACAGTTTAAATTAAAATCCCCTGAGTCATCTAGACTAACAATAAAATATTTGTTAATAGACTAGCACTGAGATATTTTTTTTATTTGTTAGACTAACACTGAAATATTTTTCAAACGATTAACGATTATTTTATTTGTTAGATTAACACTGAAATATTTTTTAAACGATTAACTATGCTCAAAAAATGTTTTAGACAAAAGTTGAAGAGGGGGTTTCGAGAGGAGCATTTTAATTGATATAGTTGTTATTTTTTTGACGACTTTCTCGATGCGTAGAAGGTGTTTGAAGATTAAGTTTGTCTCTTTTTTTAAAGCGAAATCATATATTTTTTAATACAATAATCGATTCAGCTCGTCGCTATCTATAAAAAAAATGTATTAAACTATTTATACCGAGAAACCATTAGTTCAGGAGATATTTTAATTAAAACATGCAGTGTAATTAAAGTATGTAATGTAATACCTATAATGTAATTTGGATTTTTATGCTTTTATGGAAAATTTAAATATACAAAATTGCAGAGAATGCACGTAATGCGAAAAAGTAATATTCGAAGTGCTTTTTATAATATTTAACACGAGAAACAATTTTCCACGCAAGGTTCGATGTTCTTTTTTTTAATTATATTCCCAATTCCAATATTTTGCATAAAAATCCGCAGTCTAGTAATAATTGATTGGGTTACAGTATTATTGTACAGTTAACTCATTCGACAATACTGTTAAAATACTGTTAAAATAAATTGTACAAGTTAACATTATATTTTATAAATAGAAAATTCACGAATAAATTGTTTGTAACAATGATTCTAATGGGTACATAAAAGTTTACAAAATTAGATACAATTAAAAGTTATAGTTTAATTCAAATTATCAAACAGTAAAGCTCTTAGAGTGCACGTGTAGTAAATATAAATTTCCAAATTATGCTTTCGAGTTTCTCGAAAAGAAAGTATCTCACAAAAAAGAAAATTTTACTTTACTTTCTTTACCTATTTTTGTGGAATAACCTCCTGTTAATTAATTCTCCGTTTAGAATTAGCTAAATTCAACTTGATAAATTATACTTGATAATTATTATTTGATAAAGCTTCAAACTCGATCTCCTCGAAAACGAGCAATTTAATGAGCAATTTTTTTTTCTTTCTTCTCGTACTTCTGAAACACCCTATACATTGTAAAATAAAAGTATTTATTTATTGTTTGTCTCGATGGCTATAATTTTCGGCTTGGCCAAGATAAATCACTGTTGATTTCACACGACACGTCTCTGATTATCGGTCAAAGCGAGTCGCCCGGTTTGAAATGTAAAATAGATTATTCAATTATGAAATGGAAATATTCTTATTTTTAAAAATAATGTTGATAAAAGAAAATTTATTAAAAATTTATGAAAATATGATTAAACTGTTATTAATAATAATAAAAAATATAAATATAATTGACGATAAAGATGAAATTAAATAATATAAAATTCGAATTATTTTCGTAAATTTCTTACTCTAATATTTAATAGTCTGATTAATAAAATTATTGAAAATTCATAAATAATTCATTTAAAATTCACATAAAATTATCAATTGTTACTAATATAATTGGACACAAATATAATAAAAAGAAATTAAATTTTATTATTTTATTTATTAAGCAATAAATACTATACAACACATATATAATTAATTTAAAAAATTAATATTAATTTAATAATTTTAATTATATTAGATTAAAACGCAAACATTGCCAATTCTTGCAGATCGGCCTGACGATTGCGTTCTGTCGTCTATCGGCAGGGACAGAGTTCCTAATCGACCGATTAATCCCGACTCAATTCTTAACGAATGATCCGCAGCAAGCGTCGAACACCGAGAAGAACACAAAGTGGCTCGACAAAGCGGGTGGGAAACACCTCCTCGCCGCGTAATTTAGGGATTCGCCGTGTGTACGAGGCAACGGCGAATTAACTCGCTCGCTCGATGGCTCGGTGGCTTGCGCGTCAAATGCAAAACGCGACCATTCCCTCCTGTTTATGCTTCCCCCTTCGGCCTTTGTGTGTACATTCTTCGGCAACGGGCGTCATCATCTTCCTCGTCGCGCGCGCGCGCGCGTGTGTGCGTGCATTCGAGTATGCGAAATGGGTTACCGACGACGTTTACGCGACTCCCTCCAGAGTCTGGCGGTTAATTTTCCGCCCTCGAAAATCGACTCGCTCGTCACCCTCCTCTTGAACTTCACGAACGAAGGGAAAGCTTCGATCGGCAAAAGGGAATACAGAAGCGAGAAAGAACGCGTTATTGGCGTTTCACATTATTTGGCAGTTCGGGGAGCGAGTTTATGGCGGTTTGTGGCAAGAAATGGTCGATAATCGACGCGGAGTTCACACGGTATAAATATAGGACAGTGGGTAATTTAAAGTGGCTGGGTAATTTAAATTAATCATTCTCTGTTGCATGTTTGAGCACGGTTTTACGGAGGTAAAGCTAGGTAGGCTAGGTAGCGATCCAAGATTCAAGTGCCTCGTCCTTTCGCGTTATATAACAACAGGCTGCGTTAATTCTGAGCTACGGCGCCGGCGACGTAAGTGCGAAATTTGCATCTGAAAAATTCAAATTCAAAGGCGAGCTCATGACGACGATAGAAAATTTTTCTACGAAGACTTCTCTCTGGTGATTTTCTGATGTTGAAGCATTAAGTGAAAGATCAAGAGTTACAATACGCGGAATCAAATTATTTTTGGTCGGAAGGTGTCTTTTAAATGTAGATATCAAGTATAGATACTAAATATATACATTAAATAATAAAATCTCTGTCATTTTTTGACGATTTTGCGTGATCAACTTTTGTTCAAAACATTCTTTGAACAAACATTGTCAACTTTCGTTGATGTATTATCAATAGGTGCTGTATTTTCAATTACTGCAAGATTTATTCATTGATTTCCTTTATTTTTAGAATTATTAATAAATCAAAAATGATTAAAATTTCAATTTTTTTTTTTTTTTATGTTTATTGAAGTTAATCTTACATTTTTGAAAAACGTGTTTGAAAAGCTGTGTACATCAATTTGATGCATCTGAACCCAACGTATCATACACTCTGTGCAACACATTTTTGTCAATATTTGTCGTTCGATGGATTTTAGCCGACGACAACATTCGAGTCGCGATTTGAATTCGAAGAACATCAACGTCCCTCGAATCGATTAACATAAATTACGCGCAACATGTAACGAGCCACCGTGTGAACGAACGCTCGCCTAAGAGGATCGGGAAGAAAATGGTACGACAAGGGGTTCATAATCGTACCCACGTTGCGTTTATGCGGCGTTTAGAAGACGCGTGAAAAACAATCGTTCACTGGTTTCAGCCCCATCTCCACGAGCGAAAGCTCTCGCGTTCGCGAATCGGCGTGTAACAAACAGGAGGAAGAAGAGAATTAATCTCTCGGAAAGGTTCCGTCGTTAAACAGACGCGCCCGAGCTTACCATGAGAGAAAGAAGAAACGACACCGAAGAGAGTGAGAGACACACACAGAGAGATTGTGTGTATGTGTGAGAAAAGGAGAAGAAAGATGTTGGTCGTTGGTAGTTGGATAATAGGTATTTGCTTTGACGATCGCTCGGAGTCGCGAGTTTGAATGGCCGGTGATTCTCGCGAGAGCGAGCTTTCACCGGTATTAAAACGATCGCGCCTGTTTGAAACACGGAACGAGAGAGAGAAAGAGAGGGACAGAGAATGATCGGTTTATAACTCACGCGGTTGTTGCCGCGTCATTCAACCGCCTGTTACATCGTCGACATCCCCCATCGTCGAAATACGACGATTCCTCGCCTCGGGATCGAAACTTTTTCACCCATTCTGCCGCGTTAATTCCACTGCTAAGGGTGAAACAATCGCGCGCCGCCGCCGCGTATATCGCGCCGGACGTCGCCGACGTCTTGTTTTCGGCGCTGCCGCGTATCGACAGATTTGACAGGGCACGGTTGCTCGCGTTTTCACCGGGAAAAAAGGCGCGCGCGATCGACAGTGGCTCGATTGAAAACTGTCCGCATGATGGCTGAATATATTTACATCGGTGGTCTTTGTTGCGTTTGAAACATGCGGTCTCGCGGAGGTCTCTTTTTTTTTTTCTTTTGCTTTTTTTTCTTTTTTTTTTTTGAACCAACCTGGTTCGTTAAATCCGTTTATTATTCACTACCGATGCGGATGAATCGTTGAAACGCCGTTCGGTTTTTCATCTTTTCTTCCGGTGCCGTGGTAATGGCACCTGATTTTATTACCACGTTGCGTCGTGGGTAAGAAACATGGACATTTTTATCGTTGTGTACGTACGTACGTACGTACGTATCGTGGCTCGTTACTCGAAAGAATAACCCGCTTCAAAGGAAGTACGTAACTCTTGCAACAAGTTTCATTGTCGTTCAGCTGGAACGCAGATGAATTAGCAACGAAGAGGATATATGGGTACGGCTATCAATAAATACGGCGGGTGAAAAAGGTATTGACACATCTTTGTGAAGACAAACGGCGCATTAGCAAAATCTCCCAGCTTTCCGTTAAATGGCTCGCTACGTGCGAAAGTAACAGTAGCAATTTTCAATAATGAGTACAAGAAATATAAAAATTCGTGAACCGAACGATACACTTGTAATTCCGATGCTCGCAATCAGTCTGATAGAAATGTCAGAATTTTAAGAATTAAAAATATTAAACATATTCTTACTGATATTTTTAATCGTTAAAAATGCACGCACCTTTGATTTTGCGTCATTTGATTTTCGAATTTTTATACTACTTGTATTATTATTGTACAATACTCGTTATTTTTGTATGTAGTAAACTATTAATGGATAACAGATTTTATTATTGTGTCGTTAATTAACTTTTTCTATTAACAAAATTAGCTGTACACTTTATTTGATCTGTATATCAATAATTATTAATAATTATTCAGCTAATAATTATACTAGACGCTTGAAATAATTATTAGCTGAATAATTATTAGTAATTATTCAGCTAATAATTATTTCAAACATCTAGTTAAGTAAAAAAATAAAACAATACGTTGTCACACGTGGACCGTTTATTTTGAATATAACGTAAGTCTATTTTTTCTTTTTTTTTTTAAGAAAACGGAGAGAACCAAAAATTTATATATACATAAAACGTGAACTCTTCATTCACGTACAATTTATAATTTAAATCTAAGAATAATCGTTGATCAACTGAAATCTCGTTGCTGAATGGAATTCTGCATAATCGACGCAAACATTTCAATATCTCGAAAAGAAAGAGAATGGGACTTTGGTCACTTTCGAAAATAAATGGTTCATATGGTTATTCAATGTATTGATGATTACATTGAAATAATGAATTGTATCGGCTAACGAGTGTTGTTTCAAATAACCATTCCAGCTAAATAGAGTAATATTTTATTCAACAGATTATTCAAAGGAACAATGAATTATATCGACCAATACTTGTTTCGAATAATTTCCAGCCAAGTAAGATATTATATAGTCTGTGCATGCCAATACATCGTTCAAAATTTGAAATGACGAATTATATCAGCTGATAATCTTTTCAACATTAGCAGATATTATCAACGTGCCGTTTGTTGGCGCATCTCTCACAAAAATCTTAGAAAAAGAACCAATACTTTCTTGAATGCACTGTGAAAATTCAGAAAATTCAGAAAATGGATAACAAAGTATTATGCACGAACTTTTCTTTTCTTTTCTTTTTTTCTTTTTAGAATCCTATCGTATTTAAGAAAGAAAAGACGCGAGAAAGCGAGATTCCCTGGGATCGTGGCTTTCATAAATCTGGGAAGTCGGGCGAAATATCGCTCGGCGAGAAGGTGTCAGGATCTGTCACGCGAATATCCCCCAACGGATGCATATATCCCGCGGCTGTTTGAAAATTATTCCATTCAAGGACGAAACAATAACATATAAACGGATCCTCTGTGAAACGTACGTCCCGCATGATGTTTGAATATGCTTTCTACGATATCTAGCCCTGTCTACCGTAAGATCGACCCTTCTGTGCCCGACTTTGATACGTCGCGACATTCCTGCACTGTAACTGATCGAACCTTTGCCAGTTTCGTGCTTGGGCAGCGAAACGTTTCCCCGAAAATTCCAACATCTGCTACGATGAGAATTCGCGATCGACGGATTCAAAAAATTCGATATGTGGATTCGTAGAAAATTTTGAATTGTGAAGAGCATCAGGAAAACACGTACATACGATAGTATAGTAACGTTTATAATTTAGAAGAGTTTATTCCCTTACAGTCGTGGTCGTGTATGAAATAGAACGATATAAAATGATTTACAATGATTTAGAATGTGATGAATGTCTAATGCTCTTGAATATGATGTAGAATGATTTAGAATGTTTTATGCTTTTACTGATATAGAATGTTTCTATAATGATTTAGAATGTTTTATGCTGTCGAATGTCTCTAAAGCATGTCCAACTGAGCATAGATGACCAACTATTGGATCTTGCCCTATTCACTGTCCACTTTTATGTGGACTGTTGCTAGCTCATTGTCAGTATTTGCATAGATTCAATATAGTCCAGGTTGGTCATCCAACAGTGAACAATGATGAAAAATTGTCGATAATTGTAAACTCTGAAAAGACTAAGAAAATTTTCTGTGACTAGATTATTTATTTTTTTTTATGATTAAAATCTTTCTGTCGTATCCACGTTGTATTAAATTATGTTATTTTTATGTTACAAATATCAGGATTGAACGACAAACGGTCGAGAAATCGTAACACTTCCAATGTTCAAAAACGAAAAAATCGTACAGCAAGGAATCTCTGTAAAAAGGAAAGTCGATTCTTCAAAATGACAACGTGGAATTTAATAAAAATTCTTCGATGTTTCGCAGATTTTGGAATTTTTACAGTTTTCAACAAGAAAGAAGTCATCTTTGTGAAAAAAAAAAAAAAAAAAAAAAAACGAGCTCAGAACTGCCAAACTCGAAAATGGTGAAACTTTAAAGGCCAAGATTCGATTGTTACACGATTCTTTTTTTCACCAAGTTGTAACAGTTTTTTTATCCTCTTCACTTTAACGTGAAAAAATATATAAAATATATAAGATATGTAAAATATGTAAAATATATGAAATATATAAAATATACATACATATATATATATATAACTTAACGCGAGAAAATATATAAAATATATAAAAATATACATATATATAAAATATATAAAATATATAAAAATATACATATATATAAAATATATAAAATATATAAAAATATACATATATATAAAATATACAACGTTCTCTATAATATCTAAAATTCTGTAATACTTTGAGAGCTACTTCTAGTTTGAGCCGCTCACATTCCCAGAAATACGAATTTTCATAAGAATTCACAATCCAGGCGATCGACGAGCGTTGGGTTTGCACGGGGAAACAGGGTTACAGAAGCTTGCCCGTACAAGTTTTGGGAATAGCTAAAATATTTTCGATGCATCGTTGTATCTCAAAGCAGCCGGCGTATTCGCCGGAAGAATTTCCTTGGAAAATTCACCGGGAGGGTACGAAATTCGTAGCGCGCCAGCTAGAACAACGCCAGTTTCAGTTTCACTTGCTCGATCACTCGACTACTCGTCCGTGTTCTTTCTTCTTGTCCCCGTTTCGACTCTCGAACGGTCGCAACCCAGACGAGACAAAAGGAAAAGAGGCATTCGCCTCCTGGTTTTCGTCCTGTTTTCCCTCGCTATACGTATTTAGTCCCTTTGAAACGATTTAATATTGTAGAGATTTAATATAAATAATGTTTATTTAATAGGAGTGACGATAATAAAACAGCAAATAATTAAACAAAACGAATAACGTTCGATCAACACGATTGACACTTTTAACAGCTCTTTGGTCAGACTCTGGTCTTTAAAAAAAAATGCCTACGTTGGACTTTTCACATCACGTTCATATTTTATCATATTTCTGTGATAAAACAGGCCATCCG